CAATCAATCAAAATCATGAGTTTTATTTAGTAATGGATTAATCTGTCGAAACTATGACAACAAAAAAATATGAGAAAATAAGGAAAAGGGCCATTTAAACCGGTCTTTTAATTTTAACTTTCAAATTTAATCTATATTCTATCCTTATAATAAAAATATCTACTCGTAAATTTCACCTCTTAAGGATTTTAGATAAATATCTAAATTATTATTATCATTTAATCTATAGATTGTTTCAGGAAAATTTGCCTGGAAAATTTATTTTATTGGTAAGGCCACTTGATATTGATTCTTCATTTAACTTTATCCTCTCCATCTCCTGAACCCCCAAAAAACTAGCAATATAGCTAATATGGCAACCGTGTTTTTTGGCTTACATTCGGGATTTCCGATACACTGTGTTTAATTTTTTGTTTGTTTAGCCCCCCTCCCTCGTGTAATTCAAAAAAAATAATGTTAAACGAAGTTTCAATTTCAAACGACCTAATTATCATATCAGACTCTCACCCTTTATAATGCTGCCAATAATTATTAGTTTACTTCATATAATAATAGCTAGAGTTCTGTAATAGGAATAGTCTCTATTTCTTAGTAATATCAGTGCTTAAGCAACTTTGCCGATCTTTAACAATTATATCGATTTTCTACGTAGTGTTTTCCAAGAAAATTTTGGCAGTACAACGCTTTCCGTTTTGAAGATCATACATTAAGGGAGCATTTACTTAGAACGATTTGGCGCTATAAAGAAAAGTCTAAGCAATTAGCTTGGAAAACAGTTTAAGGGATTGGATCAGTCTCAATAAACATACTACATAATATATTAGCTGACTCGTGATGTTTAATAAAACATGAAATAACTGTTACTTAATATTTATATACCGATATGAAGGAGCACCTACCGATATGATTGGCAGATTATTTGATTTCCTAAAAAAGAACATAAGATAGTACAATAAAATTACAGCAATGTAGTACGAAAATTATTACATTGTTTTGTGCGAACGCCTCAAATTGAATATATTACGTGAAAGTTTTACTTTGCCACGCACTACGCCCGATATAGCAATCTAACATTGCAGAATTTTATATAAAACCTAAAATATTTTAACTCCTACGTGCTTTAATGTTTTTATTTTTAAATTTTTTCTCATTATAGTTAAAGTTTTAGATAATATAAACATAGATGCAAAGTGCCATAGGTGCGTTTCAGTAAGTCGTTTTTATTATGTGCATTATACATTATATCTTGTTTTGTTACATTACTATAATAACTGTGCACTATCATAGTGTATACTTGATATTCTATTAACAGTACTTAATTAATTTTATATGCTTTTATATAGTCAACTCTTTCAAATATTCTTATAGAAAATTACTGTTTCTTACTGTAAGAGTCCCAGCATTTTTATACCGAATGTTTAATTTTATTATCCAGAGTCCGTTATAAAGAGGCTTGATATCCAGAATCGACTATATTTAATGGTTAATAAATATAAAGATGAATTTGACTATTTGTTTGTGTTAAAACTTTAAGTCGATCATTATATTTATAAACATATAAATATGTATTTGGCCGTAGAGGTAAAAATAGATTCTATTTACTTGACAGATTCAGCTGAGCGATTAATATAAGCCATTAATTTTTAAAATTATTTTGCAATAACAAATTTTAGTAAAGAATCACTATATAATGAATCCTACAACTCATCGCATGAATAGAGTATGGTTCGTCGGCTAAGGTCGGTTATTATCGGTTACCGGCTATTAGTCGGTTGTAGCCGGCTATAATCAAAAAATTTTAAAAAGTGTTTCAGTCTCTAAATTATACCAAGAAATATTGCTTTAAGTAAAGAAGTCTTGCAGAAATTTTAGTTTCAGCGTTTATTTTTACGGGATGATCCGTGACGATCTGCTTAAACGTTAACTGGTCCGCACATTGGTTAGGGAAGATTAAAGAACACTGAACCCAGTGATCATCGCAGTATCACATGACAATCACTCGGCCTAGGTTAGGGTTAGTTTAGGGTTAGCGTAGGAGTTAGTTTAGGCCAGTTTGTTTAGTTCTGGTAAACAAATTACGTCATGATATGTTTATCATGTGATTGTCGATCAATGGGTTCAGAGATCTTTAAGTGTCCCCATTGGTTATAATTTTAGTCGGTTACAGCTGTTCTCGTAAATTCCGGGACAATGATAAAATTGCCCGATGATCATTCGGCCGAATTCGGTATTATCGACATTGTTGTAATGCCGAAAATCCAATGCCGATTAAACCGAATTCAAAAATCGGCCGAACCAATTTTTATCAGTTTCCCAGAATCTATGAGAACAGTTGTAAGCCCTTCTAACCGGCTAATATCGGTTACAGCAATAGCCGTAACCGAATCCATGGATATTAATAGTTTAGTTATCGTTATGAATTTCACTTGTAAAAATTTTAAATGCTTGGGTAAAATCTGATATTCATTTATTGCAATTAACAAAAAAGTATGATTTCTGTAGATTATTATTTCACAGAATTCTAACAGAAGGATTTCAAATAAACGGATTTTACCGAATGTATATGTCGATTTAAAATCTTATCATAGAAAAAAGCCTCGTGCTATATCGAATTTCATTTCTAAAACGACGAGATTTCCAAAATAGAATCAAGATAAATAAAACCCGATTTTTGGAAATTTCGGTAGATCAAGAAAAAAATTCATTTTGCTTTTTTTGAGTCGATATCTGATTTCTTAAAATTACTCCGAGATGATAACTAAGTGTTTTAAAAAATTAGAAATTACCGTTTTTTTTTTTTTTTTTAATGATCCACAAATTTCACGATGATAGTGAGATATTGAAATCTAAATTTTTACAATCGCTTAATTATTTAAGATAATTTTGATTTACTAATATAATTTGGGACAATTTTTACGGCCCAATCTTGTGGCGCTGTAAGGAGATAATATGTAATTGACTCATATTGTCTACAATTGCGCATAAATAAATTAATTTAAATTTTTAGTAACTAACTGCGCTTAAACAACTTGTATAGACAATAAAATTGTGCAACAGTTTATAGATGTATAAATAAAAAAAAATCTACTTTTTTATATACTTTAATTAAAACTGTTATAACAATTATACATTAAAATTTTGAAACTATATCAGCATATAATTAGTTACAAAGTTTTTTTTTAAAAATGCTACACTAACTCATTTTAGATTTTCATAATCAATCATCTAATTTCTAAATTTTTTTTGTGAATATATAAATAACCAGTTTTAGTTATTTTAAGGATACTTCTGTACCGTTTCAATGAACCTTTTTACACAAGGAGAACGCTAAGAATTCATCAAATTTATGTTATTCAAAATCCGGCTATTTAACTCCGCGTCTTTACAATTTGAAACACAGTATTGGTCGGATCTTTGTCTAATTCGATCATGTAATCAAAGAAAAAAATATTGGGGTATCTATCTGATTAATCACACACATATATTTAGTTTACATTTCTAATAATATAATATTTATTGCTACAATGATTTATTAATATATACAGTAAAAAAGTGAAGATACACTATGAATAAGCAACTATTGAAATTACTAAATACGGATATTCATATCAACATGGTTAATTATTAGAAGTTCTTTAATTAGAATTTGGAAGCAGTGTTGGAATGTCAAAATTTTTTTTCATAAAAATTTTCGTTGACTAAAAATTATATATGCTCACAAATACGAGCATTTTTTTTAAAAATTTATCTGTTTCGCGATTTTGAAATAATATATGGATAACAAGCAGTCTTCAGTTACTATAGAATTTATTATTTTCAAATATGTCAAAAGTCCGAAAAATTTGGCGTTAAGCTGTAAAGCTTGGGCGCGAGTTGCCAAAAATGAAAATGCAAGAGCAGAGTGGATTATTTACCATTATGGAAGGGCACACGCGCTATTTAATGCCGTGAGGCTAGGTCCGACTTTCATCAACTTACCCGTTGCAGAGGCTATTATTACGAGACGTGGAATTATATCAAGATATTTCCTTCAAAAACTTCTTGTTCACTACGGAAGTTATGATTTAAAGTTAATTGAACTAAAAATTACGCATAATGTTGGTCAAATCGGGTTTGACCGATTTAACTCATTAAAAAAAAATGTTCAAGAACCGTGGGCAAGTAATCTAGACTTATCGGTCTTCACGTATTTTCTAACGGTTGCGCAAATGCAATTTGATATAAACGAACTTTGCTTAAAAGGAAATGACATGGAACTTTTTCATTTTCTTACTGGTGGCCCACATTCAATAAGTGATGCTCAGAACATTTTACAAAAAAATATCAATGCTATTAAAGATTTAATACTGAGTATGAAATTTATTCCGTTCCCTCCTAGACCATCAAATTCTCTTCGTACGTCACAAAATTTTCCCGAAGAATACCCACCTAAAGATGGTTACGAAAATAATAGACAATTAAACGTAATTGCTCGTTCAATTTTAATTTGTAAAGATTTGGTCTTGTCGTGGAAAGAAATTGGCTATTGTGAAATCTGCAGCGATGTTAATGATCTAGTAATCCAGAGTTCGCTTCTCATATTTTACCCTCCTAATCCTTCTGCTGACTGGGTTCGACCAAATGCTGAAGCTATTAATAAACGGATCAACGAATTAATTGATCTTGGTTTTCAACTGAGCTACGGTGTTATTGGCAGCATTCTTTATTTATTTGAAGACAGATTAGAGGATATCGGTGAAACATTAATGGAATCATTTATATATATTAAACAAGATTCTCGCGATACCTTTTTAAATCGTTGCTTGATAGAATCATTAAGATCTAAGCACAGTTCGAATAAACCTCAAGTTTGGAACTTTCTCTACGCTTTCGTGAAAAATAATCCTGAAATGGCATTCAATAAAGCATTTGGTTATTATTGTAAAAAAAATAGAAATTCAACAATCGAATCTGAAATCAGGAAACTTTCATTACCATCAAAATTTTATAATTGGATTCTTATGAAATTTGGCTTGGATGCACAAATCACCAAACTTTGCTTTGAGGATATATTAAAAGCACGTGCTAGCATTGACATACGGCTGCAGCAAGATACTAACGCAGATATACCAAATGGAATAACTCAACACGATTATCAAGAAACTTGCAATATTTGTAAGATTTATTGTAATGCTAAGAATTTTTATCTACCGTCGCATTTAGACTTGATCTCTCAATGCACTAGTCAGGATATTCTAGCTCCATTGTTTAAGTATTATTTACCTGATTTATTCAATGTAAAAATATCCTTTGAAATGCCAATGAGAATAATTGAAGATGCAGGCGGTACGGATAATTATTATAGTCATATATTTCCAAAACCAATCACTGGAAAAAGAAAAAAACGCGTATTGAAAGAATGGAATCAGGCATTATACAACCTATCAACACATAATACTGGCAGATTAACAAACACTTTTCGCAATTATCTTCACGAATTTATTTATGAAAACTTGCCAAATTCGGCGAACGTCTAATTTAATTAAGGTAAGGTCAAACATTAGTAATGATATTGCCTTCTTGACATATGGAGTTTTTTTTTGCCTTGAAAATAACCTTACGGGGCATGTAATTAATATATCCCATAGGGGTATTTCCAAGGCGGAGACCATATATTATTGTTCCGAGACGGATTAATCTCTGTATCGCAGGTAAATCACGACTGCGTTGTCTTACCTAAATACCGGATTAGCTTTTTACGCAACTTTGTAGCACAAACAACCCATTTCGGGGTATATTCCAATGTAATTGATTGATCCTTAACTTCTTTCATTAAGTGGCAGTTATCCCTTAAAAGTTGCAGAAGAACATATTAGAAACGTAATCGGAAATTTTTAATTTTAATGCGTTTGTGTAATGAGATAATCTTGTACAATGCTACGCATTTTCCTAATTTTTGAGAGATGCGTTACACAATCTGAAATGCAGAGTGAAATTTATTTATATAGATATAGATTATTTGTCATATGAAATTGACAACAAAGAAATTATTGTATGGTTAAGATAATTCAGATAAATAAATCATGTCATCATCTATGTAATATGATTTCATTCTTTAAATTTTCAGCAAATCAGGAACGATGAATCGGTAAATTATATTATCCGTAATATTTTTATCCGGAGCGACCCTAAGTATTACGGCAAGTGATACAAAAATTACCTTCATGATGTGCTTCAATTGTAAAAATCTTGACAAAATTTACTTTTTTGATATATGTGCATATATGATGCAAATCTTATCAGAAATAGAATTTGGAAATTTCTTTGTCTGTTCGCACGCGTGTTTATATTTGTGCTTTAATGTTATCAACATATGCATACTAACGCGTTTGTGTAATATGATGGGCTCCGGACATATAATGCTACGCATTAACCTAGTTGCAATTCAAGAACAGCCAATTGTTTTCATTGAATTTGCATCTAAAAGAATGCTACAATTCGGTGCATCTGAAGTCAAATTATTCTTGAATATCAGCATTATAGATTGATATTCACAATGAATGAGTCATCAAAATAATGCGATAATCTCGAGAAAAGATGTGTGTTTTTTTTTTTTATGACTTTGTATATGATAAATACTTCGAAATCTAGCATTCATTCAAGCCAAAATCATCGAAAATGGCATAGCCACCCTTGAGTTACTGTCGCGACTGATGCTGGAAATTTTAATTATTTTAATATGAAATTTTCAAAATTTTTGGGGCCTTTTGTTAGGGGGTTTTTTTAGGGTTGGGTTAGGGTTTAGTGGTAGTTTTAATAATAAAAGAGCATAAGTAGATTTTGGTAGGGTTTCAAGGTCCCTAATTTCCAGGTTCAGCCGCGATAATTAATAAATGAAATATTGTGACTACCAAAAATATCACCATGATTAGAAATTCCAAGTGCTTGAGGAAAGAAATACGCTTTCTGAGTAATATCGCTAATTTGATATTGATTTAGATAATCAGATGCCATATGTGTATTTTTTTACAGGTAAATAGGAAATTAATAATGTACCATCTCGCATAGAGTTTACTGCTAGTTCCCTATGTTGATTTATAATATCTATCACTTTGGCTTTTGACCACACTTTCTACCTGGGCTAGTAAAAATACATTCAAGATCGCGTTTCATACAGTTTGTGCAAACAGTCTTTCCAGTGCACCTTTTGTGTTTCTTTCGACAGTAGTGCATGTAAAGGTCATATAAGCGCACAGTTTTTGTGAAGACATTGTTAAACATTATAAGATTAAATATTTTATATACCCCTGATACGTAAAAAAAAATTCAATTGAAAAATTTATATTGTAGATAAAATAAAACTGGGTTTAAAATATAATATAGTATCCGTCCTCTTAGTGAAGAAAATATTCCAAGATTTAAAGCCTGATATAGTTTTAATTTTAGCAACATAAATAGTACAAGGTTCGAATTGAAAATATGCACTTGAGTAAAGTAAGCTCAGATATCGATACCGTGATTTTTGATACGGTAATTACGGTAATTGATATGATGGTGTCACGGTAGGGTGTTCAAAATAATAGGTAAATCAAATCATAGTCGGGGTACATATGTAAGGATTTTTTACCGGTTTTTTAAATAATTTCGGAAATTTCGGAAAATTTAACTAACTTATTGTTTTCTTTATTTATCGAACAACTCATTAACGTTGACGTTAAACAGCGGAAAATTTAACTTTCACTTATTATTTCTTTTATTTATTGAACAAGTCCTTAAACAGTATATTAGCTTCTATTTCTCC